TTCGAATTAGCAAAACGCTAATTCGAACTAGTTTTTTAGTCTAGATCCGTTAGTTCGAATTAGCTTAGTTTGAATTAACGAATTCGAACTAAGTTAGTTTGAATTAACATTGTAGTGTAGACGTACCCTCAGTTCCTCTCCCCGGGGGGTAACCGGTAGAACAGGTACCTCCCTGTCCCATCAGCTACTCGGCTGGGCCGTGGTACAGACAGCAGCCAGTGGTGGTCACCCACAGCCCAAGCCCAGCAACCAGCAAGGTACCAACACTACCTCACAGTCCCTCAGCGAAGTAGACCAGCAAGCAGAGAAACCTGAGAACTGTCTGCTCAGGGTGGGGGGTCGGGTCCCTTTAAGCACAACCCTCGGCTAGCCCCACACACTAAGTCAAACCCTGATGCCCTGCCAGCACTGGTTCCGGCCAGCCTTAGCTTCGATTCAGGGTCCACTCAATGTGGATGTGCTACTTCGATTTAGAAAAACGCTCTTTTGATTTAGTTTTTGTGTCTAGCTGCGTTATTTCGAATTAGCTTAATTCAAAATAGCTCTGTAGTGTAGACATACCCGGAGAGCATCCACGCTGCATGGACACTCTTGCACAAGAAAGCTCTGATTGCCGTTCACAGAATGGCCATCAGAGTACCTGTGCTTTTTTGGATAGCCTTTTTCGGTGCAAGAAACCCCTGCGGAACATCCACAAATGCCTTTTTGTGCAAGAGCTGTAGCGCGAAAAGGGGTTATTCCTCATGGGAGAGGAATAACGCTACCAGCAAAAGCCCTCTGTTCTGTCCATTTACTGTATTTTTTTTGCGCAAAAACACGCTTGAGGTGTGAACGATCCGCCAGTTTGGGGGCAAAAACCTTGTAGTGTAGACATAGCCTCCATGACTATTCCTTTGTAACATGTGGGTTGCCGTGCGAGATGAACTCCAGGCATTTTGGCCCTGGAAGTTGTGAAGCAGTCGCACAATGTGCGAAGTTCTGTTACCAGCGCTGAGGTGGGAAAACACAACCCGTTTCCTCATCCATCTCTGAACGATCAACACGGTATTGGAATTTGATGCTTCCCCTATGCAGAGAGAGTATCTGCCAGATATATACCCACATGGGACTTCCCAAAATGACACTGGCAAGCACTTGGGATCCCAGAGTCCCAGGAAAAGAAAGTCTGCTGTGTCCTTCCATTTACATCATGTCAGGATCATATCCTTTGGCTGCCACAGTCATGATCTGGTAGTGAATTACAAAGACAAATTCCATGGATATTACAGCAGCTTGGATGGTATGCAGGGTTATGATGCTACCATTAATTGAAAATGGAATTTGTTGCTGTGTCTGTTGGCAGCATTCCCACATGCAGCACAGAAGGTAGTACATTATGCACAGAAAATTAAAGCAATGTCACTTGCTACACTGAACAGTCGGCAAGACTCAACTGGCCCTGACAACCAAATCCCCTGGTATCAGTAAATCATTTCTTCACTCCCAGTAGAGGTTCTCAGAGTCTATTTTTTGCTCTTAATGTGCACAGACATGGGGGAATTGTCTGGGAATCTTAACCAGAGAGCCCGCAGGGACCACAGAGGGGAAATTATAAAGTTCGATGCCCAGCGTGTTGCGTGCCACTTCTCCAAGATACATTGCTGATTTTCAGGGCTCTGCCTTCCCTTTGCAGGAAGGAGATTTCCTCTCTCTGATGAGCAGGATTGTGGTGAGTTACATGTTTCTGCATTAACATCTAGGCTGTGTCTACATTGGCACCCCTTTCTGGAAAAGGGATGCTAATGTAGACTTCGGAATTGCAAATTCCGCGGGGGATTTAAATATCCCCCGCGGCATTTGCATTTACATGGCTGCCGCTTTTTTCCGGCTTGGGGATAAGCCGGAGAAAAGCACCAGTCTAGACGTGATTCTACGGAAAATAAGCTCTTTTCTAGAGGATCTCTTATTCCTATTAAATCCCCGCGGAATTTGCAATTCCAAAGTCTACATTAGCATCCCTTTTCCGGAAAGGGGTGCCAATGTAGACACAGCCCTAGGGTTCAAGCCATGAACAATCTGGGCAGGAATTCACCAGAACGGTGACTTGAACTGTTTAGTATTGTCCAAAAGGTCCAGGGATTTGCCTGGTAAAACTGGAATGACAAATGTATTGGAAATAGCTTAGATAATGATTTGTTCTTAAGATCAGTTTTTTTTCTCTCTCTCTGTGTCCTTCTCTCTGTCTCAGTAGCTCCTCCGCTGTTGGGGTTATGCAATTTCAGTTCAGCAACTTCTCTTCCCTCTTAAGTAGCGTAGTCCAAGCTCCTACCCTGGGTATCGGTGTTACAGGCAGGCTCAGAACAAGAATGGGTTACACACTGGTTGAGTTCTGCTCTCACGTTCTGCCTTCACTGGGTCACTCCTGATTGACATTGGCGTTCCTGAGAGTGAAATCAGGGCTACAATTTCACCCTATATCCAAAGGTAGGGATTTAAATGAATGCCCTGATTAGAACAGCCTTGAGCTTGCAGGGATGACACCTGGAGCTGACCCCTGGCCTCTAAGGAGGGGTGAGCGCCTTTGGACCAAAGAAGGACAGACAGGACAGTTACCGAGATGTCAAAATCACAGACTTAGAAATTTAGATCAACTAGAACAATTCTTTTGCGGGGCAGTGCGCTGTCCTCTCTGAGCCACCAGCATCTCTGCTTCTGGAGAGCATGAGAAAGCAAAAGCAGTAAAAATGCAAATACCAAATACCAAAAGCAGTAAAAATGAAATCATGTTTCTGGCTTGGAGAAAACCAGGCAGGGTTGGAAATATCATAGGGGATGTACCAGGAAAGGAGAGAGAGAGAGAGAGAGAGAGAGAGTGTGTCCCGATAGTTTTGGGGGGGAGAGAAGGGCAAGACAGTAGGCCTTTTAGGCTATGTCTACACTAGAGGCTTCTTGCGCAAGAAGCTTTTTGCGGAAGAGATCGTCCACAAAAACTTCTTGCACAAGAGCGTGTCCACACTGCAAAATCACATCGAAAAAAGTGATACGCTTTTGCGCAAGAGAGCGTCTAGACTGCATGGACGCTCTCTCGAAAGGAAACTCTGATTGCTATTTACAGAATGGCCACCAGGGCACCTGTCCTTTTTTTCAATTGCCTCTTTTTGTAAAAAGAAACCCCTCTTGCTCTTGTGCCAAAAGGAGTTCTTCCTCGTAGGGGGAGGAATACCTACACCGCAAAAACCCCTCTGTTCTTTTGTTTTACTTGCACAAAAATGCGAGTGAGGTGTGGATGCACCGCACATGTTTGCGGAAAAACTCTGAAGTGTAGACCTAGTCTCAGGGTCCAGATCCTAATGGTATGGAGTCCTGGAACATGGTGAAGTAGGGACTAGACCTCCTGCCTAATGCACAGACCAAAGAGGCATAACAAGGCCTCCTGAGGCAAGATATGGGGTAGAGTGCTCATATGGATGGAGGCAGTACAGTGGGGGCAGGGAGTGGCATGCATAGGGAGAGAGGAGCAGTACTGCTGACATTACATTTTCTTTGTGAGTGTTGCTCCAAAGCCGATGCTGGGACCTATCCTGGCCCTGAGTGGGTTTGTGCTGGGCTTAGGGTCTCTTTTGCCTGGCACGGTGCACAGCTGCAGCCTGTGTGTCACTGCCTTTACGCAGCTTTGTTTCCAACTGTTGTCGTGTGGGGTATCTTCAGGCCTGTCACCGGTGGGAAGAACCACTGCTCTTTGCTCCTCAGTTGGTTCCATTTCCCATCATCCCCTGAAAGCCTGTTCTCACTCTCCTTCCCCATCCCAGGCTGCCCATGTCTCCTTCATGCTCCCCAGTCACCCCTCACGCTGCCAACGTATCTTCCTCTGCATAGGTGAGGTGCCTGCTGTCACACCTGCTCCCTCGGCTGGAGGGAACCAGGAACTCTGTCTCACGGTGTCAGCCGATTGTCAGGGCAGTACGTGTGTGTGTGTGTGTGTGATTGTCAGGGCAGTACACGTGTGTGTGTGTGTGTGTGTGTGTGTGTGTGTGTGTGTGTGTGTGTGAGAGAGAGAGAGAGAGAGAGAGAGAGAGAGAGAGAAATACACCCAAGTCTTCAACTGCTAGGACAGGGTCCCTTTGCAGCAGGCAGCCTGGAAAGGCCGACGGGTGCCCCAAGGGTCTGTCCCATGGAGGCGACAGGACCCAAACGCCCAGCTCTGCCTGTGTCTGCCCCTATGACCGGCTCAAGTGCTTTTAATTGTGTTTGGTTCTGTTACAGCAACAGGAGGAGTCAGGTTAAGGCTTAAACAGTTACAGGTTTATTAAAAAGGCTTATAAAGCATGTGGTTACAATGGCTATTGTTCTACTTCTTAACTGCTAGCAAATACAGATCTTAAAACGGTTACAAGGAAAGGGAAATTAGGAAAATAGCCGTACCAAGTGACAGCTTAATCTTTAAAGAGCTCTATTCTATGCATGCACTAAAACAAAAGGACACATCCAGGTACAATTTTTACCCCCTTCTGCATCTCTCGATTCCAGCGTGTCAGGCCAGGACCAGTCACTCAATTCCCCGGGAAAGACGAATACGAGGCTGGGCATCCCCATGTGGACCTCAGGAGGCAATTACCTAACCCGACCAGCAGGTAGATGGTAGATTGACGCTCAGAGTGAGTGTGCTGCTGGGCCCATCTTTATACCCATAGGGGTCACGTATTCTCTCTCTTTTCTGTGGTGCCAAATTGTGCTGGGTCACCTTTGTGATGCCAGCTCTTACAAGGGAGTTGTGAACTTAATTTTCACTTGGAAGAGAGATAACTAAATTGGGAGTACTGGGCCTTCTTTTCTCAGCAAGCGATTCCTCTCCCAGGGACGGCTGTGTGATTGTATCAACATAGATGCCAGCCAAGGGCAGTTCTCGCAGCCTCTAGGTCAGCTTATTGGCTTGATCACCCTCTCGTATCTATGTTTACAGTTATCCAGGGTAAGATGAGCCAGCATATCCAGGCCTCTGTCAAGACTGTGCTGATTTTATTGCTCTCTGTGTCCTGTGTGCTCCGGGCACCTCAGAGGGGCAAGCAAGATGGATGTGATGGGGGGGCCTCTGTCCGGCTACACACGGGTAAGAAATTTCACACACGTAGTAGCAAATGCCAGGGCACTGGTGCTGCTGCTCTTCTTGGTGCACCCATAGACACTGTGTGCAGCTTCAGGAACAACTCGCAAAGTTAGAAGTGTGCTCATTGTACAATGAGAGTGTGTAATTTTCGGACATGTGACGGCTGTAGCCTTGAAATAAAAGTAAATGTTGTAATGTAGTGTCATGATTATGAGGGTTAGCCAGTAGCCTGGGGATTAAGGAGTTAACTGCACCTAGCCAGGTGGAGTGACCAGTAGAAATGTAGGTGGGACTTTCAAACTGGGACAAAGAAATTTGGGTTTTTTTCTTTTTTTTTTTTTGGTCTCTCTGGGTGTGTTCTCTGCAGCTAGAGAGGGGAGATCTTACCCACAAGATCACGCTGGGCCAATCCTTTACAATCTAAACTCTAAAGAAATATTAATGCAAGAAAGAAAATGTTGAGAGTAAGATTGTTAATGAGAACACTTGTCATACATCAATCACCGAGTGCTTGATGCAGGTGGTTAGCAAAGATAGTACAACTTCTAACTTAGCAATCTTTGGGTACGTCTAGACTACCGGGTTTTGTCGACAGAAGTTTTGTCGACAGTATCTGTCGACAAAACTTCTGTCGACAAAGAGCGTCCAGACACATTGAGTTCTGTCGACAAAGCAAGCTGCTTTGTCGACAGAACCCTGTAGTCTAGACGCAAGCCTACAGGCAATAACACCTTCTGTCGACAGAGCTATGAGGTATACCAGCGTCGACAAAACTGCTGAGTTCTGTCGACGTTATGTCGACAGAACTCAGCAGTAGTGTAGACGCTGGTATAGTTTTGTCGACAAAAGTCCACTTTTGTCGACAAAACTCAGTAGTCTAGACACACCCTTTAGTGTCAGCCCCAGAGGGCCCTTTGATGTTTCTTGCGTCTTCCAACTGGAGCTGGTCACAGGCAAGCAGTCCATTTTCATTGCTTCCTGAGGTGTCCGGCTGCTTAGCTTTCCCCAGCGCAACTTGGCCCTCCAGTTCTGCTCGCCTCGTCCCTGCTGCTATCTCTGCCAGTTTCACCTCCTGTTGTATACGCCTGGCCTCGGCCTCTCGTTGTGCACACCTGTCCTCCAGCTGTAGGAAAAACTCCAGCTCCTTGTCAGTTAGAGACCTGCTGGTCTTTATGGCATAATCGCACACAGAAGGCGCAGGTGGGGGGGAGGGAGAGCGGCAGCCGGCTGCTCCTGCCTCCTCAAGATTACTTCCCCCAGGGCTCACAGAGGTATGCTCTTGGTTCCCCTCTCTGGGGTTGGAATCTTTCCCGGTACTTAACATCATGCCTAGCTCTGAGGCTGTTTCTGCCTCAGGGTGGTGCTTAGGAAGGACTGGTTTCTCTAGGGTTACCTTGCCCGATACCAAGAGCATGTACTGGGCGCCTTCCCTGCCCTATTCTAGCCTAGCTATCCAGTTGTCACGAAATCTATAAAAAACCAAACTGGTTGGGATGGTCTGTGTCTGGCTTAAGCTTAACCTTCTGTCTGCCCCTCTGAAGCAGCCCAGAAAACAAAAGAAAAAAGCAAGAGAAAAGAACTGCAAAGCTTTCAACTCAAAGAAAAACCTGTGTCCTTTTAAAAATCCTGGGTTCTCAAAATAATCCCACCGCTATACCACCATGACATGGCTTCTTCCCCACTCTGGCATGATAAATGCAGAAGTGGGGGCCAGCAAGTGTACCCCAAAGCCTTATCTACCAGGCTTTGGTATAAAACTTCCCCCAAAATCTTAAACACCTAGATTTTGGGAATAAAACTTCCTATGCCACCACCCAAATATTAATAACGAGATTAGGGGAAAGATCATTTGGGAAATCTCACCCCTATTATAAAAATCAGGACACACAAGTAACCAATGCCAGGTTAATAAAAAGAATAGAGAAAACTTTTATTATTACAACAATATTCTGGTTGCAAGTATAATGACTAGAGAGGAAGGTAACAAAATATACTCATGGAGAAACTCCATGGGCCTAGAACTTAGTTACAAAGAAAAGCCAAAACATCTTTTAAGCAGTGCCAGATCTCAGATCCCATACCCAACCCTTAAAACAACAAAGCCTAACGAAACTACCTAAACTTTACCCTACTTACAGAAAATGAAGAATGGTGTCTTGGAGAGAAAAAGACATGGTTGTCCCTCTCTGTAGCTGCAGAGAAAACACCCAGAGAGACAAAAAAAAAAAAAAACCAAATTCCTTTGTCCCAGTTTGAAAGTCCCACCTACACTCCTACTGGTCACTCCACGTGGCTAGGTACAGTTAACTCCTTAATCCCCAGGCTGCTGGCTAACCCTCATAATCATGACATAGTGTCACACCACTGACTGTTCATAGAATCCTAGGGTGGAAGAGACGTCAGGAGGTCACCGAGTCCAACGCCCTGCCCAAAGCAGGACCAATCCCAACTAAATCAACCCAGCCAGGGCTTGGTCAAGCTGGGACATAAAAACCTCTAGGGATGGAGCTTTCACCACTTCCCTACGGAACCTATCCCAGTGCTGCACCACCCTCCTAGGGGAATAGTTTTTCCTAATGTCCATCTTAAACCTCCCCCACCTTGGTTACCTTCCTATGCAGACTTCTCTAGACTTGGCCAGGACCTAAATAATCTTAGGCCAGCTCCGAATGTTGCCACCTCACTGCTCATGCCCTTTCTAGATTGTGAATAATTGTAAAGTATATACCATTTATATAATTATAAAATGTAATTATAATACTATTTATAATTATAATAGTGATTATAAAATGTGTAACACCCCCCCAACACACACACACTCACTCACTCTGCTTCTCTCTTCACAGGCACCGTAAGCATTTCTGAACACGATTGACACATCCATCACCTCATGGCAGCTTCCAACAAAACCTCTACTGGTCCTTCAATGTTCATCCTAACGGGCATCCCTGGCCTGGAAACTGCCCATGCCTGGATTTCCATCCCTTTTGCTACCTTCTACGTTATCAGCCTGTTGGGAAATTTCACAGTTCTCTTTGTTGTGACAAAAGAGCAGACCCTGCACAAGCCGATGTACCTGCTGCTCTGCATGCTGGCGCTCACGGATATCACCATCTCTACCGCCGTTGTGCCAAAGGCCCTGGATATATTCTGGTTGAATTTGAAAGGCATTACTATGGCTGGCTGCCTCACTCAAACATTCTTCCTTCACACGGTTTCTATGATTCATTCAGCCGTCCTCTTGATCATGGCCTTCGATCGCTACATGGCCATATGTAAACCTCTGAGATACACCGCTATCCTCACCAACACACGAATAGCCAAACTCGGGCTAGTGGGTTTGATAAGAGCTATTCTCTTCGTTCTGCCTACGCCCCTACTCCTGAGCCGGCTGCCATTCTGTGACAACTACATTATTCCCCACACATTCTGCGAGCACATAGCAATAGCAAAGATCTCCTGTGGGGACACCACAATGTACAGAACATATAGCTTGGTAATACCATTTATGGTCATTGGGATAGACGTGACACTTATTGTCCTGTCTTATGGTCTGATTATCAGGGCTGTCCTCAGAATCTCCTCCAAGGAGTCTCACCAGAAAGCCCTCAGCACCTGCACAGCCCACATCTGGGTCATGTTGACATCTTATGCGTCCAGTCTCTTCTCCAACCTTACACACCGGTATGGTCAGGGTATTGCTCCCCACGTTCACATCATCCTGGCCAACCTCTATGTTCTCCTTCCCCCCATGCTCAACCCGATCATTTACGGGGTCAAAACCAAAGAGCTTCGTGACAAAACGGGCCAATACATCTACAGAATGTGCTCTCCTGGGGCCAATGACTTTTAACCTATGAGACAGGTTGGGGTATCTCCTCATTAATGAAGGACGCTATTTCCCAGTCTGGCTAAGATCAGCATTGTGGAAGTTCACAGTCCAGGAAGGTCCTCACATCTCCTGTCCTATCACTCCATCACCAAGCACAGCTTTCTGTCACGGCGTTCCCTCACTTGACTACTCCTGATCTATTTCAGTGTCACCTGTCAGATCCCAAGCCCCACACATCTTGCCCCTCCTGCTTTCCTTGACTTCCAGACCATCAGAAAACACTACAGCATTCTGACCCAAGGTGATTTTCTATTAGACCCTGTGTGAAGAATGTTCTCTCTCTGTTCGACAAACTCAAGCTTTCCTTTCAGAAAGGGAAAGGCAAACAAAGAAGCTAGAATGCTAAAGTTCGTTATTACAACTATAGTGATCCAATGAACTAAATGTACCTGATTTATCTACACCCAATCCTTCAGGAATCCTGGATGATAAACCATAGACTTCCTTTGAAAAGTGCTAATACAGACATGTTATTGAAGGAATAAAGAGCATTCCACTAGAGACTGTTCATGACATTTATGAAACTCAAGTATCAGAGGGGTAGCCGTGTTAGTCTGAATCTGGAAAAGCGGCGAGAAGTCCTGTGGCACCTTACAGACTAACCGAAGTGTTGGAGCATAAGCTTTCATGGGCAAAGATCCACTTCGTCAGATGCACGTGGTGGAAATTTCCAGAGGCAGGTATAAATATGCAGGCCAGAATCAGACTGGGGATGACGAGGTGGATCCAATCAGGAAGGATGAGGCCCACTTCTAGTAGCTGATGGGAAGGTGTGAATTCCAAGAGAGGAGAAGCTGCTTTTGTAGTTAGTGAGCCATTCACAGTCTTTGTTTAATGCAGAGTTAGAATCATAGAATCATAGAATAATAGGACTGGAAGGGACCTCGAGAGGTCATCGAGTCCAGCCCCCCACCCTCAAGGCAGGACCAAGCTCCGTCTACACCATCCCTGACAGATGTCTATCTAACCTGTTCTTAAATATCTCCAGAGAGGGAGATTCCACCACCTCCCTTGGCAATTTATTCCAATATTTGACCACCCTGACAGTTAGGAATTTTTTCCTAATGTCCAATCTAAACCTCCCCTGCTGCACTTTAAGCCCATTACTCCTTGTCCTGTCCTCATGGCTGATGTTGCTGGTATATATATGTGGGCAGAGTTGGCATCGAGGTTTGTTGCATGGCTTGGTTCCTGAGTTAGAGTTATTATGGTGTGGTGTACAGTTTCTGGTGAGACTATGCTTCAGGCTGGTGGGTTATCTGTGGGCAAGGACTGGCCTGCCTCCCAAGGAGGGGTTGTAGATCATTTATGAAATTGTTTTTTATTACTGGACTGCTGTGTTCAACTATAACTCCAAAGTGATGTTAAATAGCTACCACTTTGTACAGCTGATTTTGGAGTCATTGCTCAGCTGGAAATTTCAAAAGGCACCCTAATGTTTTCCACTGCTGAAGAGTTCCAAAGTAAGTGTTGAGATTTCACGTTGGCATGTTTGAAACAGGTGGAAAAAAACCCTATGTTCAGCTACCTTCCAGGTGATAAGAATTGCTAGCAATAGTAAATCCTTCTATTGTGCGCAGCCAGTGATAGAATTGCTTGCAATAAATAGTAAATCCTTCTATTGTGCGCAGCCTGTCACTACCTAGATCGGCTGTAATCTCGTTTGCACCATTGTTTTATGAAGTCCAATGACAGTTTCAGCAGCACTGGAGAGTCTGGGCTGTGGTTCGCTGGCCCGATACTCACGTCAAGTGAGTGGGGGTTGAAGATCTTGACCACAAGGGTCTTGAGTGAACGTGGCTCATTTGCTCTTTTATTGGTGTCACTCATTTTTAATCTTTCAGCTGCCGTGTGGCTAAAACTGCTCATCAGGCGGCAAAAGGAACTTGCAGGCAATGACAAAATCAGTTGTGAAAAGATTGCAGCAAGGGAAGAAATAGTTGTACTGCTCATTGATGATGGATGACCAACAGCGATTGAGACTGCTATAACTAAATAAATACGAAATATGGAAATGGACAACTATCTTTAAATGCTTTTAGTTATAAAAAAGAATAATGCTGTTATTGGTTTCACTGCTAAATGCATTTGGGGGGACTTTTGGGCTATTTTTAACACTGATATATGATTTCCTGTTCAAAATATCTGCCAGCCAGCCAAAATATGGAAATGGACAACTATCTTTCAATGCTTTTAGTTATAAAAATGAATGATGTTGTTATTGGTTTCACTGCTAAATGCATTTGGGGAGACTTTTGGGCTATTTTTAACACTGATATATCATGTTCTGTTTAAAATATCTGCCAGCCAGCCAGCCAGCCAGCCATAAGGACACAATGGCTGATAGTATTGGGGGTTTGAATGTTAACTGGATTTTTTTCATCCCATAGTTTCGTTGCTGATGTGTACGAACTAAAGCTGTATAAAAAAAATCAAGTCTGTACTTAGTATTGAACAAAAGAGCTACGTCTACACTGGCATAATTTTCCGGAAATGCTTAAAACGGAATACTATTCCGTTTTCAGCTTTTCCGGAAAAGGAGCGTCTACATTGACCACAGAGTTTCCGTGATAACGATGCGCTTTTCCGGAAAAGCGCGTCTACATTGGCGGCACGCTTTTCCAGAAAAGCAAAAGCCCGGAACCATTTTGAAGAGGGTAAAGGCCACCAGACCTTTCCGGGGGCGGGGCCGGAGCTCCGTCCAGACGCGTGGTTAAAGGGGTCTCGCCGGGCAGCCGTTGGGCTCGTGCTCCCGCGCTTTGGGACCTCTGCCAGGGACTGGCATCCTTTGCAGGGGTGGTGGGTGTGCGCTGTGT